ACGGAACAAAATAAGACGCGACTTACATAAGACGCGACTTAAATAAGACGCGAGTTTGTCGTATAAAAGGTACAAAATTCTTATGTAAGACGCGTCTTACATAAGAACAGGACTTTTAGCTGTTCATTTATAGCTGTAATATATGATTTATAGCTTAAATAAGAAATTTTGGACAAAAAGTTTAACTACACATGCCAGAAACTTGAAACAACTTAAAATTATTAGCCTTGCATATTAAAAAAAAAAACCAACCGAAACAACATTATAGCTTTTGCAAGTAAATAAGAATAAAGCTCTAGAGAACCATTTATGCGATAACTCCGCTTATCTAAGTCGCGTCTTATGTAAGTCGCGTCTTATTTTGTCTCGTATAAATGGCCCTATTGACGGCTGGTTGGCAGACTTGATGTGAGGTTTTTGCGTGTGTAGAAGACTTCTGACAGAAATCTCACAGCTTGTCAACAAGATGTGTTCGCACTGCTTGTTCCCAGTTTTTACAAGTCTGGAACAAGTTGTTATCATCTTGTAACAATGTTGATGAGGCCAAGTTGTTCCAACAAGTTTGATATCGTCTGCACGTAACAAGTTGTTAACAAGTTGATGAGAACAAGCTCGTAGTAAGTCTGTTACGAACAGCCTGTGTTAGTCTTGTTGGAACAACTTGTAGCAAGTGTGTTACCGTCACCAACCTTGTAACAAGGTGATAACAACTTGTTTCGGACTTGTCACAACAACTGGCAAGGAATGTTCAGTTACACTGATTGTTTTACATTTAGGTGCTATGTTGAAGCTGGTGAAAAGTTTTCATTTGATCAACTACCATCAGCTGAACTTCAAAGAACATTCTTGGCGAAATCACCCATCATACACGCTGACAAGGTATAGCTTCCTGTAGTTACACTGGGTCAATAAGAGATGATCCTTACTGGACCTCTAGAGAGAACAGTTTCGAACTGATAGAGCTATCCATTATAAATAAAGATAGTTTAGTTTAGGTTTTCTCCTATAGTAACACTAGATCAATAAGAGGTGATCCTTACTGGATCTCTAGGAAGAACAGTTTAGAACTGATAGAGGTATCCATTATAAATAAAGTTAGTTTAGTTTAGGTTTCCTCTTGTAGTAATACTGGATCAATAAGAGATGATCCTTACTGGACCTCTAAAGAGAACAGTTTAGAATTGATAGAGCTAGCTATCCATTATAAATAAAGTTAGTTTAGTTTAGGTTTCCTCCTGTAGTAACACTAGATCAATACGAGATGATCCTTACTGGATCTCTAGGAAGAACAGTTTAGAACTGATAGAGTTTTCCAGTATAAATAAATAGGGGATATTACACGGCGGCGCGAAGATATGACTTTTATCTAGCTTCTAGTGGTGAAAACAATATTTTACGAACGAGCGCAGCGAGTAAAATATTGTTTTTAACACGAGAAGATAAAAGTCATATCTTCAAGCCACCGTGTAATGTTTTGTTTACTATATAGTCCCAAAGGTCACGTGATCCTAAAGGTCACGTGATCGATATCTTCACTAGTGAAGATATGGAAAATATGTCACTGTGTATTTCTCAGTATCTCACTCTCTACTATATAATAAAGTTATTTACCATGCACACGCTTGCTTTTACGAGAAAAAATATTCTGCAAATTTCAGGTTCAGACCCCGACTTTAGTGTTATTGGGCGGTGTCGATCTTCGAGTTCCGCCTTCCCAAGGGAAAGAATTTTATAGAGCGTTGCATTGTCGTGGTGTGGAGACAAGGTATGGATATATTTCATGTTTGTTTTAAACATTGGCCTGCTCATATTCATATGTGCATGTTTTAGCGTGCTATATGCATGTTTTAGCGTGCTTATGAGAATCCCTTATTTTGGTGTCTCATAAGCACGATCATATATGCATGTTTTAGCGTGCTTATGAGAATCCCTTATCAGTTTGGTGTCTCATAAGCACGATCATATATGCATGTTTTAGCGTGCTTATGAGAATCCCTTATTTTGCATGGTGTCTCATAAGCACGATCATATATGCATGTTTTAGCGTGCTTATGAGAATCCCTTATTTTGCATGGTGTCTCATAAGCACGATCATATATGCATGTTTTAGCGTGCTTATGAGAATCCCCAGATCATATATGCATGTTTTAGCGTGCTTATGAGAATCCCTTATTTTGGTGTCTCATAAGCATGATCATATATGCATGTTTTAGCGTGCTTATGAGAATCCCTTATTTTGGTGTCTCATAAGCACGTCATATATGCATGTTAGTCCTCCTGTAGTAACACTGGATCAATAAGAAATGATCCTTACTGGACCTCTAGGAACAACAGTTTAGAACTGATAGAGCTATCCAGTATAAATAAAGTTAGTTTTCTCTCTAATATTTTGTGTTTTATAATCTATAACGTTGCTCAAGGTTGCTGAGCTCAACAGCTATCATCCTGCTTATTTTGGTGTCTCATAAGCACGATCATATATGCATGTTTTAGCGTAGTTATGAGAATCCCTTATTTTGCATGGTGTCTCATAAGCACGATCATATATGCATGTTTTAGCGTGCTTATGAGAATCCCTTATTTTGCATGGTGTCTCATAAGCACGATCATATATGCATGTTTTAGCGTGCTTATGT